CCCGATGTGGGACTCGATCCCAGGACCCTGGGATCATGACCTGAGCCGAAGGCAGACGCTTAACGACTGAGCCACCCAGGCGCCCGAGGTAGGTTATTCTTATTGCATAAAATAAGGGGCATCACAAGGAGTCAGGTCTCAGCACCATATAAAGAAGGCAGTCATGGAGCGCCTGGATGGCTCTGTCAATTAAGCGTCTGACTCTTAATTTCAGCTCAGGCCATGATCTCAGGGTCGTGAGATCAAATCCCACACCCATCATGGAGCTTGCTTGGGATTCTCTCTCCTTCTCCCTCTACCCCTCCCTACCCCACTCACACACGCTCTCTCCCTCTCCAAGAAAAAAAAAAAAGGCAGTCATGACAAGTGTTGGTGAGGATGTGGATTGGTGCAGCCCCTGTGGGAAACAGTATGAAGGTTCCTCAAAAAATTAAAAGTAGAAATACCATATAATCCATCAATTGCACTGTTGGGTATTTTCCCAAAGAAAACAAAAACACTAATTTAAAAAGATATATGCACCCCTATGTTTATTGCAGTATTGTTTACAATAGCCAAGATATGGAAGTAACCCAAGTATCCATCGATTGATGAATGGATAAAGATGTGGCATATATATACCATGGAATATTACCCAGTCACAAAAAAGAATGAAATATGGCCATTTGCAACAACAACATGGATGGACCTAGAGGGTATAATGCTAAGTGAAATAAGTCAGACAGAGAAAGACAAATACTGTATGATTTCACTTGTATGTAGAATCTCAAAAACAAAACAAATGAACAAACAAACCAAAAAAGCAGAAAGAGACCCATAAATACAGAGAACAAACTGATGGTTGCCAGATCTGAAGGGGAAGAGGGATGGACAAAAGTTGGTGAAGGAGAGTGGGAGGCACAGGCTTCCAGTTATGCAGTGAGTAGGTCACGGGGATGAAAGGCACAGCGTGGGGACAATGATACTCTATATCATTGAGCGTCAATGATACTCTAATAGTGGTGTGTGGGGACAGATGGGAGCTACACTTGTGCTGAGCACAGCATAAGGTATAGAGTTGTTGAATCACTATGTTGTATGCCCGAGACCGATATAACATTGGGTGTCAACTATACTGTAATAAAAAAAAAATCAGATAGGAAATTAAAAATGGAGTTACAAAACAAAACAAAAAAGAATAAACCTTTTTGTGATACATATTTTTAAAAATGAAAATGAAAAAAAAAATTAAAAAGGCACTCATGACAATTATGCCTGTCCAAAGGCAAAGTGGGCTTCCTCAAAAGGGGGTGAGCTTCCTACCCCTGGAGGCAATCAAGCAGTCAAGAATGCTGTAGATTCCTGCATTAGGTGGGACTGTGACCAAGTGCTCTGCGAACTCTGAGCCCCTGTGGAATTATTTAACCCTATCAAGGAGACCAACAGACACAAGTTCAGTATTTGACCCCTGAGCCCTCAGGTTCTTCTATGCTGAGCATGGGCAAGTCACTTCTATAAAAGGAGAGGGGGGTGCCTGACGTCTCAGGCATTACATTACATTCTAAAGCCTGTGATTACCGGGATGGAGACGGTTAGAATTTTTCCGGGAGTGAGGAAGGAGAAGAAATCCCAAAACTATTCTCCCAACCCCCATCTGAAGGCCTGGGGCTTGAAGCATTTTGCAATCGGCTACCCTCCATCCCCCAGCCTGTGCTAAGGGATATTAGAAAGGCTCTAGGGAGCCAAGAGGCGGGAACTGTGGGAGTTGCCTCGTCCAAGCACTTCATCAGGGCCCAGACCCCCCCCACAGTTGGCTGGGCACACCCCCTTCCTCGACAGGCGGACGCATCATCTTCTCTCCCAGGCCTGGCTCCCAGCTGGACATGAGGGCTTCCAGCCAGGCTCTCCCAACTTGATATGCAGTTTCTCTTCTCCCCACTGCTCCAAAGTATACATCTGTCTTGTGGCGCCGATAGAGAGGCTTGTCCTCTGGTAAACTTTGTCCCATGACCCTTTCCTCCTCCAGAGTGGGCCATCCGGTTGGGTAGGCCTGAATTCCCAGCATCTCCCAAGTACCTTGGATGCTGGCTCCATTTCCTGCCCCTCCCCAGACACGGATTGAGCAAGAAGCAGATGCCCCGCCCCCACGTTCTGTGGCCCTGGTGCGCGTTCCAGGGTGATGAGGATGGGGAGTGAGAACATCCCTCTGGTTTGGGACGGTCTTACCAGATTCTCTAATCCTTGGGGAGGAAAATGTTTGGCATATTATAAGCATGTTGCGGAGGGGGCAGGCACGGTAAACTCTGTCCTTTTCCTCGGTACTATGAGGCCCACTCCTTTATACTCATCCAGCAAATATGATCTGAGTTCCTACTATGTGTTGAGCACAGCACAAGGCAAGAGAATAGATTTAACCACAAAACCCAGACAGGGTCCTTGCCATGGAGCATACAGCCCGAGGGTAGGAAAAATTAGATCCTAAGCTCCTCCCCTGTAGCAGTGCTTCTCAGACTTGGCTGTGCTTGCGGATTTAGGTGAAGTTCAGTAGGTCTGGACGGGTCTGAGATGCTGCACACCTGCAGACTCCGAGGTGCTGCTGGTGATGCAGTCCCCAGGGCACGGACAGTAGCCTGCTTAGTTAGCTGTTGGAGCGCCCGCGAGAATCGGTGCAGGGTCTGTCTGCGTGCGATAAACATCGGTCAGGATGACAGGGAATTTTCTGGGGGAGTCCCACCATGTCTTTCCTTCTCCCTCACACCAAGACCTCCTGTGCAGAAGCCAGAGCTCCGGGGAGGGGGGGCGGGGGGCTTTGCTTTCACCTGGCAGAGCTCCGGGCAGGTGTCCGTGCCAGGGTGGGAGCTGCTGTGGGAAAGCTGGTTTTCAGGGAGGGGTTTCCTTCACTTAGACTGAGACGATAGCAGTGGTCAGGGGGCCCAGGATGTTCTGCTCAGTGGCATCCTCTTGTCTTTGCAGACTGCGCTGGGTGCAAGGAGGAGATCAAGCACGGCCAGTCGCTCCTTGCGCTGGACAAGCAATGGCACGTCAGCTGCTTCAAGTGCCAGACCTGCAGTGTCATTCTCACCGGGGAGTACATCAGCAAGTGGGTGTCTCCCCCCTCCCCGCCCGGCTTCCCCGACCCCCGCAGTATCATTCTCACCGGGGAGTACATCAGCAAGTGGGTGTCTCCCCCATCCCCGCCCGGCTTCCCCGACCCCCGCAGTATCATTCTCACCGGGGAGTACATCAGCAAGTGGGTGTCTCCCCCCTCCCCGCCCGGCTTCCGGGACCCCCGCATTCTAGTGGCCTGCCCCAGGGGGCCCGCACCTGAATCTCCCAGGCCACCTCCTTCCACTTGCCTCCAGCCTCCACCCTCCCACAGCCACAGACCGCACCTCCCCAACCCCTGGGCCCTTCCGTGCTGCCTCCTCTGCCCGGGATGCTCTTCCTGCTCCTGGATGCGTTCGCTCCTCCCCTCCCTCTGGTCTTGGTCAAGCAGTCAAGAATGCTGTAGATTCCTGCATTCCACCTAATGTAGGTAGAATGCAGGAATCTACATTAGGGGACCTGCTCTCCCCAGGCGGTCTCATACCGTCCCGGGCCACCTCCGCTCCCCCAACACCAGCCCTCACGGGGCCCTGTTTGTTCCCTTCACACAGGCTAACACCGTTTGCAGTCATACACTCATCCATGTTAACTTTTTTGATAATGATAATAATACCAGCTACCATTTACCGAGTTTTTATTACGTACAAAGGATATACTAATGGCTGTGTATGGGTTATCGCATTAAACCTCACAACTCCCCCTGTAAGGCGTCCATCCCCATTTTAAAAGCTGTAAAAACTGAGGCTTGAGGAAGTGAGTAACTTGCTCCATGATGGTATTTAATGTCTGTCCTCGCCGAGGTGGGGCCTCTGTTTGACCCGCTGCAGCCTTCAGCGCGTGCCCAACCCCTGGCCAACAATACAGTTGTTGAATGAATTGAGTTGCGATAAGATACAACGGACACCCGAAGCCATCAGCAGAGGGCTCCACCCCCAGTGGCTGCACAGAGCCTCACCAGACAAACCCCCCGCCTTGCCACTAGACCCTAATGACCACATGCCCATACTCAAGTATGTAAAAGAAGTGATGGCCACAGCCCCTCACAGCGTTGATGTTTTATGACCCAGACACTGCTGAGGCGGCATGCTGACCCACTGCTAGGACGTGGTGAGCGCGTAAAGCTGTAGCATGTATGGAGTTTGCTGTCAGGAGAGTGATAGTCTAATAAGGGAGATAAACTAGATACATAAAGAATTATGGCACTAGGAGTTATGTGATAGGGAGCGCAAGAGTTTTGTTCTTTAAGACCCTTTAGATCACAAGCGACAGAAAACCCCGTTCAAACTCACTTAAGCAAAAATGAGTTTATTGACTCAGAAATAGGAAGGCCAGAGGCCTACTGACTTCCAGCACGGCTGAATCCAGGGGCTCAAGGAGGTTACTGGCACTGCAGAAGTCTCTCTCTCTCTCTCTCTCTCCCCCTCCCCTTCTCTCTCAGCTCTCCCTTCCTCTGTGTTGGGTTTATTCTCAAACAAGCCCTCCCCAAAGGGTAGCATAGATGATCACCGGCAATTCCAGGGGTTCATTCTACCAGCGTAGCAAGCCCGGCAGAGAGACAGAGGCCTCTTTCCCAAGGACCCCAGCAAGAGCCCCATGGCTACCTCTGCTTTGGCTTGGGTCACACTCCCATTCCTGACCAATCACTGGCCAGGAGGATGTGAATCCTAGAGCCAGAGAGCAGCCCTCTGTGACCCACAGTTACTGTGAGTGGGAAGGAAAACCAGGCGAGGCTATGGGCAGAAAGGGGACATGGATGCCACCAGACAGCACTGTCTGGGTCAGAGGTCCAAGTGACAGTCTGCAAATATTCTGAGAAAGAAGGGAGCACTTCTAACTAGCAGGGAGTGAAATCTGGAATCTGGGAGAGCTTCACGGAAGATAGCGCTATTTGAGCCAGACCTTGAAAATGAGGGTAAGATTTGAAAATGCAAAGAAGGAAAGTTTGTAGGCAGAAGGCCCAGCCTGGGCAAGGGCAGGCTGGTGCCTGACACATCCATCTTGTTGGCCAGGGCTCAGACGTGTGCGCGGGTGAAGCAGGGTCCAAGGCTGCAGAAGTGAGCTGAGGTCACATCACCGAGAGCTTTGAATGCCATGTTAGTAGGAGCTTGGCATTTCCCTCCGAGCCTGCCAAATAAGAAGTGCCCTTAGTGAGTCACCAGCCTGAGTCCTTGAGTCTGTGAGCCTAAGTCAGGGGTGTAGGGTTTGCTCAAAAGAGCTCCTCTCAGGAAGGCCCAACCCCCATTGCCCATTCCACCTAAGGCCTCTGCAGCCTGGCTCTGGGCTCTTCATCTGGCTGCTGGCAGAGTGGCGGGCACTTAGAGGCACTGCCTCTGGCATTGATGCCCGGGTTAGAAGCCCGGCCTCCGTGACCTTGGCAAAGGACTAACTTCTCTGAGTCTATGTCCTCGTTTATAAAAACAGGGATGAGCAGACCTACCTCGTAGGGTGGTGCAAAGGCTCAGACATCATACTAGTAAGTGTCTAGTCAATACTAATTTGACCATCTGCCTCTTTTTAGAATCATGGGTATTTCAAATTCCCCAAGGCCTCCCAATCCATGGGTCCAAACGAGGTGGGGTTGGCATTTATACACAAATGTTGTTGGCGCATTGTACCCACCTCCTGACAAATGACTTTGTCCCCCTGCAAAGTCACCCTCCCACACCCACGTAGTGTGGAAGTGTTGGCAGGGGTGGGAGGAGGCTTGTCTCGGGGGCCTTCCAACAACAGTCTGACCGCTGGCCTTACTGGGCATTGGTCATCACTGCTCCCTCCCCCTCAAGAGAACACACGCTCCCTGCCACACAGGCTGGGCTCCCAGCAAGCCCAGCATGGCAACAACTTGGAGATGGAACAACTGCATGCCTGTCCTTCAGGCCTCTCTGCGTCAGCTGGTTCTGTTGCACCCAAAAATGGGGGAAGTGTCCCTCTCTCCTCATGGACTCATTAGCAGCACAGAGCCGTGTCGTCAGATCTGGTCCTTAGAGCCAGGCAGGGCCCAGAGCTGGGGTGAGCTGTCTGACGTCCCCAGCTACCTCCATGTCCTCCTTGAAGACCCCTCTCCGCAATCATGGAGATTCCTCTGGCTGCCATTTGCGGTGTGCTCGCTAGAGGCCAGGCACTGAGCCTGAGCCCCGGGGCACACGGCAGCCATGTCCTTCCGGCCGCAGGACCACCTCGGGGAGGACCCAGACCGCCTGGGTTTGAATCCAGCTTCAGGTCCTCTGAGTTGAGTTTTCTCATCAACACGATGGGGAGACTGATAGTTCTGACCTCACAGGGCTGCCGTAAGGATTCAGTGAAATCATCTATGTGAAACGCCATCAGAGAGCCTGCCACACACCGAGAAATCAGCATCAGTGGCTATCAGTAGCAGAAAGTAGTGTAAGAATAATTTACAATAATCTTATTACTGCCTGATAAGTTGGAAGCACCGGGCGAAAATGAAACACATCGGAAGTGGTTAGGGTAGGTTCCACTTATCGCCTGACCCGAGAGCACAGTCAGATGATTCCCTCACTACAGGTAAAATCTTTTATCAGATGAGGAGCCCTGAAGGCTCTGCACAAAAATTGACCCCATTGATGACTTCCTGGATGGGGCTGGGAGGAAGGAGAAGACTTTTCCCTTTATGCCTTTGTAATGTGCCAAATGCAAATACTACCCATTCTAAATAAAATAAAACTTCATACATTTTTACAAGAACCCTTTGGGATAAAGAGAAGAAAGTGGGTCTGGAGAACTTGTGGGGGAAAAATAGAAAGGGGAACAGAAAAGGGATATCCATGGCCAGCAGCCCAGACCGGTGGCTCCCAGGTGCGCTTGGGGAGTTTGCCAAGAGGCAGATTCCTGGGCCCCCCTCCCAGGGGATCTCTGATTCCATAGATCTGAGGGGTGTCTGGGGAGTTTGCATTTTTAACAAACTCCCCAAGTGTTTCTAATCTTGGTCCAGTCACCACTGGCTGCGGGTCCAGGACCTCACATGTGACACCCCCCATGGACCACCCCCCCCAACTTCCTCTCCCTGTGTGGATTTCCTCTTGCAGGGATGGCATTCCGTACTGCGAGTCCGACTACCACTCCCAGTTTGGCATTAAATGCGAGACTTGTGACCGATACATCAGCGGCAGGGTCTTGGAGGTGAGTGGGTCCAAGTAACTGTGAAGATGTTTGCACAGGGTGGCCTGTGACTCCAAAAGGGCGTCACTGAGGACCCCTCGTCCATAGCACCCCCCCTCCCCTGCTGCCTTGACCTCAGCTTAGCTTGCTACATGACTTGAGCGGATAACTTTGCGTCTTCGGACACCCCTAAAATGAGAAGCTGGACAAAATAATTCCTGGCTCGGGCGCCTGGGTGGCTCAGTTGGTTAAGCGACTGCCTTCGGCTCAGGTCATGATCCC